GGGGGGGAGGCCCCCCCCCCCCCCGCCAGCCGCTGCTCTGAGCCCCCGAGGCGCTGCTAGCGGGTGCCCCGGGATTCAAACCGGGCAGGACCACGGTTGTGTCTGCCCAGGAAGGACACAGTTTGGAATCAGCCCTACCTGGATGATGTCGGGGGCTGCTTCTCTCTAGAAAGCAGCTTCCTAGCAGCTGGGGTAGCCTGGAGCTGGCTTCCCAAAGTGTTGCCATTTCTGCCTTTGCCCGTGTCACCCGCGGCTGGTGGCTGGTGGCTGGGGTTTTCCTGCAGGGAGAAGTAGCAGCACCAGGAGAAGAGCTCGCGTTTCTCCGTTTCAGCCTCTGGGCCTCCTTCTTGGTCTTCCTCAGCTCCGCGTTAACTCCTGTCCTTGCCGCCCCCTGTCTGTCCCCTTGTTCTCGTGTCTGTCACACGGGCAGCCGGGAACTCGCATCCTCCTTGGTGGACGCGGTTATGAGACAGGGAGAACAGGGGGGCTCGGGGCTCACAGCGCGGCTCAGCACTGAGACGCGCCTCCGTCCTTCTCCACGTGGGCTCTTCCAAGGACTCGGGCCTCCCCTCACGGAGGCTGACTTGCAGGAGTGCTTATCTCGAGAGAGCCTGGCGGAAGTGCACGGCCTTCTGAGCCTCGCAGGTCGCAGAGCATCGTTTCCATTAAACCTTTTGGTCACGGTAGGCCCCAGGTTCAGGGCAGAGACAGAGACTACCCGGCAGTGGGGAAGCGGCACGGTCTAGGAGGGCGAATGGAACGGGAGGCATCGCTACGCCACGTTTGGAAACTGCGATGCTGTGAACACGGAGCAGAACGCCAGGTAACAGTCAGAGGTGAGTGAAAAGAATGGGAAATTTATAATTATCCAAGTTCATAGATCCCATGAGTCCTACCAGGGGCCCATGAACCTCGACTGATTGATTGATTGATTTTCAGAGATTTTTGCCATAGGGCACGTGTGCTCACTATAGAGACAGAGAAAGAGAGACGGAAAGTGAGAAATCACCCCTAGGGCAGATGGCCACGCCGCAATCCCTTCTCCTCCATTCTCCTCTCGGGATCTTGGGCACGCACACACATGTGCCTAGAGTGAGTTTAAGTCATCGGGTCCGAGACTGGAACCTCAGTCAACTACATGGGAGTCCAGCGACATAGCCATTACGCCAACTGCTGGTCCCAGTCCTACCCTTTTCTATCAGCACCATCTTGTCCTTCCTGCCTGGAATGTAGACATACAGGCTGGAGCTGTAGCAGCCATTTTAGATCATGAGGCAACATTAATGATGGCAGCCACATGCACCAGAAAATGGAACTGAAAGTTAGCAGAAGGAAGGGCTGGATGGTGGTGCATCAGTAAAACACGACTCGGAGACGACTCACACGGACAGGTCTCTGGACATCATGTCCCGAGACTTTTCTGACTATCCAGGAGCACGCGCACCCCGATCCAGGGCTGGCTGAAGCTAGAGTGGATCTCGGCATCAGGATCCCTCGGGAGCGCTGTCTCTGTCTCTCTCGGTCTTGCTAATGGAGGATAAAAGTAAACTTCGAGGCCAGCTCTGTGGCTTAGTGATTAAGGCAGCTAGATCCCATGTGGCTGCCAATGAGGTTCAAGTTCCAGACCCGGCAGCTTGAGAAACACACCAGGCGGGTGTGCATAGGTGCCCAAAATCTTGAAAAAGGGGAGAGATGAAGACGGGGTTGTGACGAGACCTCCCCATGGTGTGTGGGGGTGCTTTCTCCTCCTCCTTCTCACCTCTGTCTCTCTCTGGTGAGTGCATGTACCCTCTAGCAAAACTATTTTTAAAAAATTAAGAAAGTGGGACAGCAGTTAGCATAATGGCTATGTCGCTGGACTCCCACGTAGTCGACCGTGTTTTGAGCCCAGGACCCGGTGGCTTAAACTCACACCGGGCACGTGTGCGTGTGTGCCCAAGATCCCGAGAGGAGAATGGAGGAGAAGGGATTGCGGCGTGGCCATCCCCCCTGGGGGGTGATTTCTCGCTTTCTGTCTCTCTCTGTCTTTCCGGCAAACGCACACGCCCTATAGCAAAAACCTCTCCAAAAAAAAAAAAAAGAAAGAAAAAAGAAAAAAAGAAGAAAAAAGAAAAAAAATTAAGAAAGCGAAATGAAATATTGTTATTAATATCGCTCTGCCCACTGCTCTCGCCCCAGCTGGCCTGTCTGCGGAGGAATGGGTGAGGTCTGGGCTCACGAGTGTCCCCCAGCAGTGCCCCACACCCCGCAGGCCCTTCTGTTTCTAAAGGAGGGGGGAAGCTGTGTTCCTCCTGTCCTGGGGGGCTTTGTAAACATCCTACACATGCACACACTCACGCACACACACATGCACAACACACTCATCTGCATACACTCGTGCATACACATGCACACACACTCGTACACTCACACACACACTCATGCACACACACTCATGTAGGCGCTCATGTACTCACACTCATGTACACACACATACACACATGTACACACACTCACGTAGACGCTCACATAGACGCTCACGTACACACACTCACACACGCACACACACTCATGTACACTCACACAGACTCACGTACACACACTCCCAGTGGATGCCCAGCCTCCTGGCTCAGCAGAGAGAGCCTCCGGCAACCTCAGCCCTGCCCAGTGCTCGGGCCCATCATTGTCCCCACAGCCTCCCTCCTGTGACACTGGTCACAGCCGCCGAGCGCCCTGGTGCCAGGTGCCGGGGGACAGCAGAAGTCGAGGCGGCCGAAGGCCCTGCTTCCTGAGCTCTGCTCGCACACACGCAGCCTGAGGCAGGGCTAAACGCAGTGAGGAAAAGCGAAACCGGCGGCCGAGGGCAAGGGTCCGGGCTGCGGCCTTAGTGGCCGGGACAGCTGCTCCTGGGAGGCCACGTGTGGGCGGAGGCCTGACAGCGACAAAGGTGGCAGACGGCTAGAGATGGCCGAGACCAGTGGGCAGTGCGGCTGAGGCGGTTTCTTACTTGGGCAGAGTGTTCAAGGAACAGGGAGGAGGCCGGCATGGCCGGGGAAGGGCGAGTAAGGGGAGCAGGCCAGAGTTCGCAGGGGTGGGTCATTCAGGGGCTGGAGGCCATGGGGAGGCCTTGGGCCTCTATTCCTCGTGAGAGGGGAGCCCTGGGAGGGCTGGGAGCAGAGCAGGGGTGGGAGCTGTCCTGGCAGGAGCAGCCGCGGACTGAGGGCGGGACGAGGGCGGGCTACTGCACCCGTCCAAGCAGACGGCGAGGGGGGAGCGGGGCGGCCACCGGCAGTCAGAGTCTAGGAATCTCTTAAAAGGACAGTCAGCCAAGGACAGGGATGGGCTGTGGGGGCGTGAGAAAACAGAACTGTAATGGCTGTGAGGCTTTGGGTGTGGGCAGGCTGGGGAAGTTCCCCGATGGCCCCGCTGGCTCACACCAGGCTCTGTGAACTCTGTCCCCTCAGCTAAGCCGCCTCTGCTCTGGGCACGGCTGCGCCTAAAGGCCACCCTCTCTAAAAGCTTCTCTGCAAGGGACCCTGGCTACGTGTGGCGTGCCCTTCCGTGTCCTCACGACGCTGTTTTCCTCCCCCGAATGGGCAGCCCGAGCCCACCTGCCGGCAGCGGGACAGCGCAGGGGTGGGGAGGTGCTGCGATGTATCGACTGGGCAGGAAATGACCTTGTGTGCTCTCCTTCATTCAGCAAATATTTGCGGAGCACCTACTGCATGCCAGACGCCCTGCGGGCTGCACTGACAGGGGAGCAGGGGACCAGGGGGACAGGTCCCTGCCCTCCTGGGGCTTCAGAGGGGAGACAGAAACCAGAGGACCAAGTGGAGGACTTAGCGTGTCGGATGGTGATGGGGGAAAGGGGCGATCGGGCGCGGAGGGAACAGCGAGTGCAAAGGCCCTGCGCACGGCTGAGCCCGGCTAGCAGGAGGGACTTCCAGGAGGGCCTTACGGCCAAGCCAGGGAATGGGCAGTTCGAGGACAGCAGCTGGGTCTGCAGGGAACTGAGGGTAGGGGACGGGCGTGCAGGGCCGTGGGCCGCAGTGAGGACTTTGCCTTTGTTCTGGGTGAGATGGGAGCCACAGGGTGTTCTGTGCACAGGATGAACTTACTAATCTTGCGTTTTCTTTTTTATTTCTTTTCTTTTTCTTTTTTTTTTTTTTTTTGCCATAGAGCACATGCACGTGCCGGAGAGAGACAGAGAAGGACAGAGAGAGGGAAAGTGAGAAACCACACACCTGGGACCAGCAGTTAGTGTAATGCCTATGTCGCTGGACTCCCATGTAGTCAACCGTGGTTCAAGTCCCGGATCTGGTGATTTAAACCCACGCCGGGTACATGTGCATGCGTGCCCCAGATCCCGAGAGGAGAATGGAGGAGAAGGGATTGCAGAGCAGCCATCCCCTCTGGGGGGTGATTTCTCGCTTTCTGTCTCTCTGTCTCTCTCTGTCTTTCTGGCGAGCTCACGTGCCCTATTGCAAAAACCTCTCAAAAAAAAAAAAGAAAGAAAGAAAGAAAGAAATCACACCCCAGGAGGGGTGGACAGATGGCAATCCATTCTACTCCATACTCCTACTGGGGATTTGGGGCATGCATGCAGACATGTCCGGCATGATTTTCAAGCTGCTAAGCCCAGGACTTGAACGGCAGTCGATGTGGAAGCCTAAAGCGCCTTAACCAACGTGCCACCTGCTGACCTAATCGTGTCTTATTGTCTGTATTTCGTGATGTTTGACATCTTGGGGGCTTGGCCAGCCCTGCAGGAAGCACCCCTTCTAGGGCTAGCGGATTCCTAGAGATGACAGACCACTGTCCCATTCACCTAAACTGAACGCTAATAAGCTACTAATCATCCTAGACATGTCCATCTCCCTCGGCCCCGTGGCCTGCACCGTCACAGAGATGGTACACTCTCTCTTCAAAACATACCCTAAGGCTTTTTTCTTTCCAATAGGGAGTGTGCCCTTTGCTGGAAAGAGACAGAAACAGACAGAGAGAGGGAAAGGGAGAAATCACCCCCAGGGGGATGGCCATGCTGCAATCCCTTCTCTTCCATTTTCCTGTCCTCTTGAGATTTTTGGCACACATGCAAATGTACCCAGCATGACTGTCAAGCCTCCAGGTCCAGGACTTGAACCACACAGTCAGCCATATGGTAGCCCAACGCTTTAACCACCACATCACCTGCTGGTCCCCTGAGGCAAAATTTTTAACAGCGTTACTGAGATAGAATTCATACAGCAGGGGCCAGGCGATGGCGCAGTGAAACTTGATGTTTGGGGCCGGCCCTGTAGCCTAGTGGTTAAGGGAGCCAGATCCCACATGGCAGACCCTGGTTCAAATCCTGGCCGCAATCCTGGCTGTGGTGGCTTGAAAACACACCAGGTTCATGGGCATTCATGGCCCAAATTCCAACAAGATGGAGAAATGGGGAGAAGAAATTGCAGTGTGACCATGTCCCCCTGGGGGGGGTCTTTCTCCCTCTCTTTCTCTCTTTCTCTCTGTCTTTCTCTGATGAACATGCATATCCCCTAGTGATTAAAAATAATAAAATAGGGAGGGTTAGCAGTTGGTGTGATGGCTATGTTGCTGGACTCTCATGTAGTCGACTGTGGTTCGATTCCTGGACCCGGTGGCTTACACTCACGCCAGGTGCATGTGCGTGTGTGCCCAAGATCCTGAGAGGAGAATGGAAGAGAAGGGATTGTGGTGTGGCCATCCCCTCGGGGGAGTGATTTCTTGCTTCCTGTCTCTCTGTCTCTGTCCTTCTGGTGAGCACACGCACCCGCAAAACTTTTGAAAAAAAAAAAATAGGGTCCAGCAGGTGGTGTGGTGGTTAAGGGCACTGAAC